GCTAGATCTAAGGATGGTATCTTCATTTCTCAGCGTAAATATGTCCTTGACCTCCTTGCTGAGATTGGTAAACTTGGAGCTAAACCAATCTCCACCCCTATTGATCATAACCACAAGCTTTCTGCTACAGATGGTGAGCTTTTATCTGATAAGGGGGTGTTTCAGAGACTGTTTGGGAAGTTGTTATATCTTTACATGGCTCGACCAGATATTTCCTATGCAATAAGTGTTATTAGTCAATTTATGCATTCTCCCAGAGATACTCATTTAGTTGCTGCAGAAAGGGTTCTGTGTTAGTTGAAAGGTACTCCAGGGAAAGGTATTCTATTTGCTAAACATGGTCACATGAAGCTGGAATCTTTCATTGATGCTGATTGGGCAGGATGTATTGATGATAGGAGATCCACCTCAGGTTATTGTGCTCTGGTTGCTGGGAACATTGTGTCATGGAGGAGTAAGAAACAATCTATAGTTGCTAGATCCTCAGCTGAAGTAGAATACAGGGCAATGGCACATGGTGTGTCAGAATTACTGTGGCTACGATCCCTTTTAGAAGAATTGGGGGTTGACTACGAGAAGCCAATGATGCTCTACTGTGACAACCAAGCAGCTATCAACATTGCACATAATCCTGTTCAACATGATAGAACTAAGCACATTGAGGTTGATAGACATTTTATAAGGGAAAGAGTTTCCTCAGGAGAAGTTTGTTTGCCATTCATCACATCAGACGAGCAATTGGCTGATATCTTGACCAAGGGAGTTCCAAGAGGGAAATTGATACATTATATAAGCAAGCTGGGCATGATTGACATCTATGCTCAGCTTGAGGGGGAGTGTAAAGAGACTGGGCCGAATGGGTCCTAGTATCTTCTCTTGTAATATCTTTTCTTTTATTGTTAGCTAATGGGCCTCTCTTAATGGGCCTGTTATTTCTTTTTTGTTTAATCTCTTTATGTTACTGCCTAGCTGGCCGCCCACTTAAGGGCATACTTGTCATTACTCTAACTTTAATTCTTAATAAAAAAAGGGATTAGAGGAGAAAGGGAAGATAATTCGATACTTCTTCTTCCTTCTCTTTTCGCCATCTTCTTCTCGTGTTGTTGCTCTTACTTCTCTTCTTCCTTTTTCTTCTAATCTTCAAATTTACACCTAATATTTGAGGACTGATTTGCATCTCTTCCAAATGCCCAAAATCTTCTCCTTCCCCCACTCAACTGCTGCTCATGCCATTAAGGCATCAATATCTGGTTCATCTCCTATGTGTCCGAATCAAGCAAGCCTCCAACACTGTCAATCTTTCCGTAAACTTTGCAGCTTCATTCACAGTAATAGAAACCACACGGTATGCTCACTCAAGTGAATCAGACTCCATTGTGATCCCTCTTTTGTTATATGGTAAATTAGATGGAGTCACACCCTAATCAGAGACGTCAGACTTCTGAGTTATGATGGAACCACACCCTATTTTTACATTACAATTTTACAAGTAATTCTCATTTCTTACACCCCCTCCTCCATGTTGGAATTTTTTTCTTGATTATTTTGATATCACATTTATATTGATTCTTACTTTGAAGTCTGTTTTCTGCCTCCCCCCCCCCCCCAAAAAAAAAAAAAAAAAAAAAGGTTGCGTTAAAGAAGGAAAATGGTCAAGTGGCAATGGTTCCTTTGTTCCAAAGTCAAGAAAGCATTGTTGGGGAGGTATTCTGTTTTCTTTTTGTTTTGTTGATTTCTATTGTTTTTGAGCTCATGTATAGTATTCAAACTTTTATTGATTTTCTTTTCTCGAACTTGTTATGCTGAAAGTTTAGTTTTCGTGTGGTATCACATACAGGTTTCTATAGAACCAACTCTAGGAAAAAAGGTTGAGCACAATGGTGTGAAAATTGAGCTCCTTGGCCAGATAGGTTTGTTTCATATGCTTCATGTTTCTCATTCTTGTGGATCTTCTCAACCTATTGCAAATATTTCAACATTTATTTTATTTTATTTTTATAATTATGTAAAGGTCTTTCACGTGGTATTGTGTTGTCTTTTCTGTTTGTACTCTAATTTGGGACCTCTTGGTTACTAGGATGTCCTTTTTTCCTTTGTTCTTCTAATAAAGTGTTGAATCATTGACAAAAAGAATTGTGATTGGTAACATCTGAAATGTGACACCACTGGAGGTGTCATGCTTAATTGCTCATGGGAAGCAAGTATGGACATCCACTCTTGTTTTGACAGCAACTAGATATGATCCTTATATTGGTGACCTGCAAGATATTTTGGGGAGGTTCTTGATGGAATGGTTTGCCCTTGAGACTAAAATACCCTAGAATTCTTGCTTTGTCATCTAATAACCAATTTTGAGTTTGTATAGACATTGCTAACAAGGGCATTTCTTGGGATTTAGGTCTTAGAAGGGGTTTGAGAGACTCTGAAACAATAGAAGTGATAAACCTGTTGGAATATTTAAAATGTGTCTTCTTTGCCCTTCTGTTTGTCTTTCTTCAAAATCCTCTACCAAACCAACCAGGCAACCCTTTAGCCCAACCTTTACCAGTTAAAACCATCTGGAAAGCATCTCTCCAAAGTTCAAGGTGTTTTGTTGGAAGGTAGTTCTTCAAATAATTGCACATGTAAGAGACTCCAACAGAGATTAAAGACTTTTCTTCAAGGGTGAAGAGAGCACAAACCAACTTTTCTTATCTTGTCAATTTGCATTCCAGGTTTTGTATCTCTTTATTATCCCTTTTGGGGTTATTGAACCCCTTCAAATATTGGAGCTGTCCTGGACTAGCGGGCACCTTAGCTCCTGTCTCAGTTTTTGTTGGGTTCTATGGATCCACTCTTTGGATATAGTGCCTTTTGCTATTTGTTGGTGTATCTAGAAATATATTAACAAAAGGATCTCTTATGCTCTCAAATGCCCCTTTAGGCATATCTGTGTTGATACTGGGGTACATTTACAAGATGGGTCAAGCCTTTAAGTATTTTGTGGGCTGCAAAAGATGAGACTTTGGCTTGAATTAGTCTTATGGTCTCATGGTATTGGGGTAAAGGAATTCTATTATAAAGGGCTTGTAGTGGTGTTTTAGTTATCTGATATTGTAAATAAGCTACTAGTGGGTTTTACCCAACTTTCTATATATATATATTGTAATACAATAAATTTCATTGCACTTGAACAGTACACAGTCACGATCTGTCTTCCACATCTTTAAAGATCTGATCTAAGGATTCTGATATAGTTGGCCACCAATGCTGCTCATTTCAGTAGGCATGGCCTATGTTGGCCATATGGTCAGCTGCTCTATTTGCTTCTCTGAATATTTTTTTTATTCTAATCTCTGAAAAGGTTTAGTAATTTCCTTGTGTTTCTGATTAGCCACCGAAACATCTTTACCTCTGTTTTTTCCTGTTTCAATGCTTCAATAACAATTGCTGAATGTCCCTGGATGTGGAGCTTTGTAAACCCTCTCTGATGTACCCATCTGACCCCCCAAGTATACTGCCCAAGACTTTTTGATGTTTACCGAGCATAATCCAACCATCTTCGCCAATGCTCTGTAGAAACCTCCTCCATCCTCGTGTACAACTCCTATTGCTGGGCTCTTTCCATTCTCTTTTACTGATCCATCAAAATTCAAAGTTATCCATCCACCATTATTCTCTCTCCAACTTACCTGGATCATATTTGTTTTCCCATAATCCCACAAGTACATGCCAATCCTCTTTTGAGTGGTAATAGCTTCTCTGTAACAATATGCTTCTTTCATTGCTAAGTTTAGAATTTCACCTGGTTGTCTTTTGTATATAATGAAATTCTCTTTTTGTGTTGACCCTTGGGTCTTACTACATACATCATCTTGCTTTTCCCATCAATATTTAGAACAATACTTTTACTGTTGGCAGTAGTGTCAAATGAATAATTCACAGTGAATAAATTTGGACAATTAATACTTAAATTTGGCCTAGGTCCTTTTATCTAGCCCTGTAACAAGAATTGTAACATATCTCACTTTCTACATGTCCATTCATGGTAGTTATTGAAATATGGTCCAGTCAATAGTTGATAACATGTTTGGTATGTTCATAGAAATGTTTTGACTAATTATTTTCTCTTTGCAGAGTTGTACTTTGACAGAGGCAACTTTTATGATTTTACTTCCCTTGGTGAGTGCATTTTAGCATAGAATTTCTTATCCTATGAAACAATCTAGCAATAATATGTTCAATTTTTTTTTTCTCTTTTTTTCTCCTTTTGTTTTTTCATTCGTTATAAATGTTAGTTTCTCATGGATTGAGGCATTTATCCGTATGTTGGACATCATTGTCAGTATGAATCCTTTTCTTATTAGTTGTTTGTCCATATTCTGGCTGTCAATAACTTTCTGGTATTGATTTGGTTCTAACACTTGATATTCTTACATGCAGTACGTGAACTTGATGTGCCTGGTGAAATATATGAAAAGAAAACATACCCTTTTGAATTTTCTACTGTTGAGATGCCATACGAATCATATAATGGTGTCAACGTAAGGCTTAGGTAGGTATCCATTTGAATTGTGTAAAACTAGTTATCTTCTAGGATCTTATTTCCTCAGGGGCTTTATATTGTGGATTCAAAGAAAATTCTTTTTCTCTTCACCTAATTTTCCTTGTATTTTGGCTTCTTAATGCCTCTGACATTAAACCAGATGCCTATCTGTTGTTTCATTCTTATTGCAAACCTTGTGGTCATATTTACTTGATTATATTATTTCTTGTGAAAGACATGAACAACTATATCATGTATTTTTGGGAAACAATGCATTTCCTTTTGTTTTTCTTCTGATTGGTAACTGATCTAAAATATTTTATTAAGGATGAAAGAGAAGATACATAAAAGAGGAACAACTATGGCATGAGGAGCAACCATGCTACCTCCAACAAAGAAGAGGACACCAATTATCTCTTCATCATTTGTAGGGCAGTTCTAATTACTTTGAACTTCTTTGCATTGTCTAAGTGATTTGATCATTTTTCTTCAATCTAATTACTTGGAACTTCTTTGCATTCCTGATCTCTTTGGCATTTATCAGCTTAAAGGGGAACTCATATCAAGAATAGGAACGCTTTCTCCAAATGGATTAAATTGGAACCTCGGGTTTAGAAGAGGGTTAAGGGGTTTTGGGTGTTCTTCTTTGATAAACTTGCTCGATACCTTAAGGCAGATCTTGCTAGACTCCTCCCTTGAGGATTCCAGAAGAACTTGGACATTATCTCTAGATGGCCTCATTACTTGTTCTTCCTTCTTTAAGTCCCTTGCTGCATCTAACTATCAAAGGGGTGAACTTCCCAATGAAAGAAATTTGGAGTAAGCCTATCCCACTTAAAATTCAAGCTTTCTATTGGAAAATTTTTCTTGGAAAAGGCAAGTGCTTGTGATATGTTGCAGAATAGAAGGCCTTCTGTGTGCCTTTCTCCTCACATGTGCTTCCTATATAGGGATAGTGGTGAGTTGCTATCCCATTTACTAGCCTCTTGTTCCTTTGTGCTTAAAATCTGGGAGTTCTTCAGTTTTCTCTTTGGGTGCAGGTGGGCCCCCCATCAAGATGTGGCAGGTCTGTTCAATCCTGACTTCTTGAGGCAACCAAAGAAAAGGGGGAAAGTGATTTGGAGGGCCACTAAGGCAGCAATTTGTTGGGTGGTGTGGGAAGAGAGGAGTAGTAGAATCATCTTGGAGAAGAGTAGATAGTATAAAAATAAAGGTAGCCGTAGCATTTTGGGTGAAGACCTTAGGCATCTTCAAAACCTTCTCAGTAACAGACTTTTCAAGGGTCTGGGCTGAAGTAGTGCTTTCTTCGAGAGTAAAAGACACAGTTTGTATGGAGTGGATACCCCCAACAGGTAATAAAGTAAAACTAAACTTCGGTGGAAGTTCCCTTGGAAACCCAAGTATGGCTGGAACAGGAAGGTTCATCAGAAACTCAGAGAGGAGAATTGTGGCATTGTTTTCAGGGCCATTTGGTTTGGGAAACTCTTTGAAGGCTGAACTGTTGGCTCTTTTGCAAGGTCTCAGACTAGCTAAACAGTTGGGTTTAGAATGACTGAGGTGGAAGAAGACTCACAAGTGGTCATCTCATTGGAAAAATCTAACAGGCGTATCCCTTGGACCCTACAACACATGTTAAGAGAAGTGGAAAAGCTAGCAAGAGAATTAGAGGTAAAATTCAAATGGATTAGAAGGAGTGCAAATGAGTTGGCTGACTCCTTAGCAAAACAAGGGGTTATGAGGCAACAATTGTTTTGGGCATCCATGTAATTTGGGTTATAAAGGGATTGACACTATAGACAATCAAGTTGTATTCATCATTCCTACTTCTGATTTAATAAAAATAAATTTACTTTGCTGATAAAAAAAGTAAAGGATTTGGGCCCTCTTCGGTATTTCCTTGGGATTGAAGTTCCTCGCTCAATAAAGGGCATCTTCATCTCCCAAAGAAAATATGTTCTCTATTTTCAAGATACTGGGAAATTGGGAACTAAACCAGCAAATACTCTAATAGAGTAGAATCACAAATTTGGAAACAATGAGAGAGAGGCCCTTGCAAATGTAAACTCGTTAGAAGATTGTTATACCTCTCCATGACATGCCTAGATATTGCTTATTCTATTGGAGTTCTTAGTTAATATATGCATGCTTCTATAACCTCCCATCTTGTAGCTACAAAATGGGTACTTAGGTACTTGAAGAAAGTACCTAAGTAAGAAGCAAGGGGTGGTTGCTAGATCAAGTGAAGAAGCTGAGTATAGAGTTATGTCACATGGGGTGGCAGAAGTCTTGCGAATTAAGAGCCTTCTAGGAGAGCTTGGTTTTACAGTGAGTGACCTCATGTCATTATATTGTGATAACAAAGAAGCCACTAATATTGCTGCAAATCCTGTTCTCCATGACCAAACCAAGCACATTGATGTTGATCAGTATTTTGTCCGTGAAAAGATAGAAAAAGGAGAGGTAAGGTGTGTGGTCCATATGTGCGCACAAAGGAGCAACTTGCAGATGTTTTCACTTAAAGAGGTTGATTCCTTGTGGCATAGTGAGTGTGTAACTTGTTGGGTATGATTGACATCTATAACCCAACTTGAGAGGGACCAAGTTTCTTTAAACAACCGAAAAAGGGGAAGGATGTTGTGGAGAGCCACAAGAGCCACAGTTTTATGGACAGTTTAGGAGGAAAGAAATGGTAGAATATTTCAAGGAAAAAGAAAATCAAGGGTGGATTTGATTGATTGCATCACTGTCAAGGTAGTGCATTGGGTAAAATCAGATGAGTTGTTTAAGGAATTCACAATGGATGATATAATCAGGGGCTGGAATTCAGTAGCAAACTCTTCAAGATCTAGTCTAGCAATTCAAGAGAGTTGGGCAACCACTACACAACAAAAAATAAATTTCAATTTTGATGGCAGCTCTCTTGGTAACCCAGGGCCCTCAGGAGTAGGTGGAGTCTTTAGAGACAGGGAAGGTAAAATTTTGGCTCTTTTTCTGGGGCCTATAGGAGTGGGCGATTCATTAAGAACTGAGGTGTTAGCACTGCTGCAAGGTCTGAGACTGGCTAAACAGATGGGACTACACCAGATTGAAGTGGAAGGGGATTCAAGATTAGTGATAGACTGGATGAAAACTGGAGATTTGGGAAGCTGGAACCACAGGCAAGCTATGAGAGAAGTTTGGTGCCTTACAAGGGAAATTGAAGCACACTTCCAATGGGTTACAAGAACAGCAAATGGCCTGGCTGATGTTCTAGCCAAACAAGGATCAAACAGGAGCAAACTTTTCTGGGCTGCTTTGTAACAATGGTTATGAATTTGGGTTCAGCATCCCAACTTTGGAATGCCTGAGTTATAATTAGGGGTGTTCATTATACTGTTCAAACCGTAAAACTGAACCAAACCAAACCCTAAACTGAAATTATATATATAATATAATGTAAATGTATAAATATAATATATGAATATATGATGTATAAATATTATATATAATATAATATATATAAATTGAATGCATAAAATTATAAATATATAATGAACTATTTATTTTATAATAAAATAAAAGTTTTAAGTTTTAATTTTTAGGGGAGCTATTTGGGCTTTCTAATTGGGTTAAGCCCAATAGAATCATAGAATGGTTCAAAGTCCCCAAACCATATTAGAAACTGGACCAAACCGTAATGGTTTGATCTGGTTTGGTTTCCATGCCAAAGCGGTTGGTTTGGTTTGGAAATTTCTCAATTCGTAATTTACTGGTTTGGTCTGAGATCTTCTCCAAACTGGACTGTGAACATTAGTTTCCAAAAGAGTATTTTAGTCTTTTTTGCCTTTTTTATTTTGTACAGCTGTTCACTCTATTATAAATAATAACAGTGGGTGCCATCCATTTTACTTTTGGACCCCAGACCTTTCTTCTTTTCTCCTCTCTCTCTTCCATTCTTTCATTTTTCTACTGGTTTATAAAGAGCTAGGGCAAACCAAAAGGACAGGGCCTAAAGCAGTGAGGCATGATTTGAGAGTCCATAATTTAACAATAGATATGGCATTGAACAGAGTGGAATGGTTGAACAAGATTATGTAGCTGACTCCATATAGCTATAGTTGGGTCAAGGCTTAGTTGAATACAGTTGATATAAGAATATTTCAAACCATGGAAATGCTCAATATTTTGATTGTCAGCGGGGTTTGGTATTTGTTAACAGATGTTATTTTATATATGTATAGTACCGCAGGGGTACTATTGTACTTTTCCTTTTCTTTATGTTTAGTTGTTGTCGCCCTAGTATAAATATAACATACTGCGCCGCCTGCAGTACCTTTTGGGCTCTTAGTCCTCTCGTCTCTCCTCTCCTCTCTCCCTTTCTCTCTTCTTCCTGTACAACAGTATTGTTTACTTTCTGTACATGTTTTTTGTTCTCATGCTATTATTGTATTAATTAGGTTAGGAGAGGGGGTTATATATGTATATGGTACTCATCTTAATGTGGTTTTAGTTCTACCTACTTGTTCAGTAGATTTACTACTATAGTAACTGGTAAGAGTGCACGTTGAATTGAAAAAAGGTGAACAACTTACCCTGTAAGCATATTATTAGTTCTTACTGTACCATGAACTAAATAAAATTGATATTAGGATGGCTGGTCAGCTGGTGTGGACACCAAGACTCTGACAGAGCATACACGACTGGAAAGAAAGGGTTGGTATCCTTGATTAGGAACTGAATCAAATGTGTCTGCAAGTGCAAGCTCAAGATAGAAGATGGAGCAGGTTGAGAAGTCTGGTCAGTTTTCAGTTAAATCTTTTTACAAGGTGTGGATGGTGGGAAATGATGAAAACGCCCCGCGGAAGTAGGGCTGTCGACATGCTCCGAAAATCTGTGGCCTGATCTGAAATCTGAGCTGATTAACTCAAATTCGGATGCAACATTAATATAATCAGGTCGGATTTGGATGGGGCAAGGCAAATAGCATTAGCATCTGAGAATAATCAAATCAAACTCAGGTGTATCCAAAT